TAAGGCACTTGACTGCTAACCAGAAGGCTGGTGGTTCAAACTCACCAGCCACTCCTTGGAAGGACGGTTGGGCAATCTACTTCAGCAGTGATACTGCCTCAGAAACCCAAGAAGGGGTTGCTATGAGTCAGATCTGACTCAACGGCAGTGAGTGAGTAGATGTGAAGTGATATCTCATTGTGGTTTTGATTTTCATTTCCCTGATAACTAATGACATTGAACATTTTTTTCAGGTGCTTATTGATCATTTGTATGTCTTCTTTGGAGAAATCTCAATTCCAGTCCATTACCCATTTTTTAATTGGGTTGTCTTTTTGCTGTTGATGTGTAAGACTTCTTTATATACTCTGAATATTAGACTTTTATCAGACATGTGATTTCCAAATATTTTCTTTCATTCTGTGGGTTTTCTTTTCACATTTTTGACAGTGTCCTTTGAAGCCCAAATGTTTTTCATTTGGATAACGTTCAATTTACCTATCTTTTCTTTTGTTGCTCATGTTTTATGTATCTTATCTAGTGTCTTAGGTATCTAGGGCTGCTATAACAGAAATATCACAAGTGGATGGCATTAACATTTTAAAAAATTAAATTTATTTTCTCACAGTTTAGAAGGCTAGAAATGCAAATTCAGAGTGTCAGCTCTAGGGGAAAGCTTTCTTTCTCTTGTCAGTTTCAGAGGGAAAGTCCTTGTTTGCTTTTGAGCTTCTGATCCTGAGTGATCTTCATATATCTTGGTGTCAGTCTACACCTGGGTCTTAGATGTTCTCATCAGAGGGACCCTGGGTCCAAAAGATGTGCTCTGCTCTTGGCTGTTCTTTCTTGGTGGTACTGAGTTCCTTCCCTCTCAGCTGCTTCTGTCTCCTTTTAGCTCTTTGAAGATAAAAGGATGTAGGCCACATGCCAGGAAAACTCCCCTTACATTGGATCAGAGCTGTGACCTGAGTGAGAGTGCTGCATCCCACCCCAATCCCATTACCACTGATTGACTGACCACATCAGATCACATTGTGGGTGTGATAACATCATTATACAACTGCCAAACCACTGAGAATCAAGGCCCAGCCAAGTTGACACATATTTTTGGGGAATACAATTCAATCCATGACATTCTATCTTTGGGCCTCCAAAAATTCATGTCCTTGTCATATTCAAAACATTTTCACCAATTGTATCATCCCCAAAATCTTAAATCAACTCCAAGTCCAAATACCATCCTGGGGCAAAATTCCTCTTCATTGGAGAATCTAGCACAAAAGTTATCTTCTTCCAATGTACAATGATGGAACAGGTACAAGAAAGACATTTCTATTACAAATGGGAGAAATTGGAGGGAAAGAAGGGCTAACAGGTACCAAGCAAGTAAAAAACTAATTTACACTAGTTCTCAAGGCTTGAAAATAATCTTTTCTTTTCTGAGACCATATAGACAATGGCCCTGCCCTCTAGACTCTGGGTGTTGGCCACTCTCTGTGGATTCTGGGTGAAGGCCCTGTGGCCTTGGCCTTTAGCTCCACCTTTCAGGCCCAGTGGAATGACAACCCTCAGCTTTGGTTGGCCCCATTCTCCTAGTCCATCTGAGTGGCAACCCCACTCCCTCAGCCCCAGCAGGCTCCATTCTTCTGCCCCTTTGGGCATGGCATCACTGTTTTAAAAAATATTTTTTTTAAACCAATTATATATGGCTGCTTTCCAGCTACAAGGACGGAGGTGAGTAGTTTCAGAGATCTTCTGGACCATAAAACCCCCCAAAAAGCCCAAACCCTTGCCCTTCGAGTTGATTACAACACATAGCAAGCCTACAGGACAGAGCAGAACTGCCCTACAGGGCTTCCCAGGCTGTAAACCTTTAAGGAAGGAGACTGCCACGTCTTTCTCTCAGCTTTGGGCAGGGGATCCAGCCCCATGCCCCTGACACTTGTGAATGACAGCTCCCTGCTCCAGAACTGAGGTGGTGAAGATCTGACTCTTTGAAACTTCGGAAGCTATGGCCCCACTCTCTGAGACCCAGAAGGCCATAGTTGTATCCTTTGAGACCCTAGAGGTCATGGCACTACCTTTTGAGACTAAGGCAGCTCTGTTTCTTGTGCTCCTTGTCTCTTCAACTTCTGCTTCCTGGTTCCTTAGCCTCTCAGCCCTTTGGGCCTCTTGGGCCTCTTGGGCCAGCCTGGCTTCTGCTTTGCTATGGCAAGTGCTACAGAGCTAATTAGCTCTACTGTTAAGTAGCCACATAAAGTCAGTGAAAAAGAGGAAGATCCTCAACAAGATGGATACACAGTGGCTACAACAGTGGGCTGAAGCATAGCAATGAATAGGAGGATGGCACAGGACCAGGCAGTGTGTTTCATCCTGTTGTACATAGGGTTGCTATGAGTTGGGAGCGACTTGAGGGCACCTAAGAACAACAGTGATAAGTACATGGAGCCACCCCACTCTGTCACTAAACCTCAGCCTGAACGAGCTTTCTCATTCCATGGGTCGACAAGTCTAACTTCATCAACAAGTGCCTGGAGGAACCCCACTCCACCAGGAAGCCTCCTGTCTGAAGGCACTCAGCTCTCTGGACCTTTGGGTTGACTTACACGGGACTCCTTGTTTCGCTGCAGCCATTTCTCTGCCACTGCTTCTCACTGTCTGCATTGTCTCTGCTGTTATAGCTCTCCTCACTTCCTTCTGAGCAGTCACCAGAATTGCCTTAATTCCACCAGTGCTCTCTTCAAGGCAGTCTAGGCTTTTACTATGTTGTTGTTGTTGTTATGTGCCATTGAGCTGGACCTGGCTCATAGCGACCCCTTGGGTTTCTGAGGTGGTATCACTACAGAAGTAGATTGCCCAACCTTCCTTCCGAGGCGTGGCTGGTAGGTTTGAACCACTAGCCTTCTGGTTAGCATTATCCTAAAACTCTTCCAGCCTGTATTCATTACCCAATTCTAAAACCACTTCCACATTTTAGGTATCTGTTAGAGAAGCCCCTCACTCTGAGAAGTCAATGGCTTTAACAAACAGAAATTTATTCTCTCATAGTTCAGGAGGCTAGAAGTCCAAATTCAGGGTGCTAGCTCTAGGGAAAGGTTTTCTCTCTCTGTTGGCTCTTTTCAACATCTGTGGACTCAGCACGCCGTGGAAATCTCCATGTGTCTTGGCATCAATCTCCTCCTGGGTCTAGGAGGTTCTCAATGCAGGGACCTTGGGTCCAATGGATGCACTCTGCTCCCCACTTTTCTTTCTTAATACTGTTTCCTCTCTCTCTGCTGCTTCTCTCTCCTTTTATCTCTTATAAAAGGTGATGTAGGCCTCACCCCAGGACAACTCTCCTTACCTCCAATCAGGACTATGACCTAAGTAAGAGTGTTGCATTCCATCCCAATCCCTTTATAACTGGATCACATCAGATCACATTGTGAGAGTGATTACATCATTACATAACTGCTAAACTATAGCGCTACATAAATGCCAAACCACTGAGAATCATGGCCTAGTCAAGTTGACACATATTCTTGGAAGACACAATTCAATCTGTGACATCTAGGCATATTGCATAACCCAAGTTCACAAAGTTTTACACTTACGATTTACACTTAGTTTTCATAAACTTAGGTTTATGGTTTTAGCTCTTACATTTAGATCTTTGATCTATTTTGAGTTCATTTTTGTATATGGCCAACTTCATTCTTTTGCATGTGGAAATCCAGTTATTTTTCACCATTTGTTGAAGAGACTATTCTTTCTCCAGTGAATAGACTTGGCTACTTTGTTGAAAACCAACTGGCCATGGATGTATGAGATTATTTCTGGACTCTCAATTCTATTCCATTGATCTATATGTCTATACTTATGTCAGTACCATATGTCTTGGTTATAGTACCTTTGTAATAAATTTTGAATTCAGGAATGTTCCCTGGTTTTCTTCCTCTTGCTATTTTTTTTAAAAAACAATTATATATGGCTGCTTTCCAGTTACAAGGACAGAGGTGAGTAGTTTCAGAGACCTTCTGGACCATAAAACCCCCAAAAAAGCCCAAACCCTTGCCCTTAGAGTTGATTACACATAGCAAGCCTACAGGACAGAGCAGAACTGCCCTACAGGGTTTCCAAGGCTGTAAACCTTTAAGGAAGGAGACTGCCACGTCTTTCTTCCATTATTTTCTCCAGAGAAGCAATTGGTGGACTCCAGCTTCTGACCTTTTGGTTAGCTGAGCACTTAATCACTGCACCACCAGGGCTCTCTATGGACCATAAAACCTCACATTTTTTTCTATTTGGCACTTTGCTGATTTTTTGTTTGTTTATTTGTTTGTCTTTTGCCATTTCAAAGAATACTGCTGTGAATATGTGTAGTATCTATGTCATCTTGCACACACATATGTGGTTCTCTGTAGAATGACTTCCTTAAGTGGCATTACATGTCATTTTGATAGATATTACCGAATAGGCTTCTAGAGAAGTTGAAGCAATTCACACTCCTTCCAACAAAGTAAGTTTAGGCCTGTTCCCCCACAGCCTCGCACTCACAGTGTGCTTAATAATTTAATATTGCCAATCTGATAATATGATTAGGGAAACGTGCTCATTGTAGTCTTAATTTGCATCCTCTTATTTCGAACAAGGTTTAGGATGTTTTTCTAAGTCTAATAGCACTTTTTCATTTTTTTTTTAACTCCTAAGAAAATTTCCTGCCTCCCGAGCTCTTCCCTACGCGGCTGAGTCAGGATCCAGAACCTTGGACGCGGGACCCGAAGCTTGGCCGCCGGCGCGAAGCGCTAGGCCTGGTGTGGCCGGTCGGAAGGCGGGTGCCACCCGCAGCTCCATTTACGCCCTTTCTCTCTCTGCCGCTGAGCCCCGCCTTCAGCCCGCCTCCTGCTGCCCAGGGTGGAGCGCGTGGTCCGGTGGGCGGGGCTGCGCTGCTTGATTTATTTCAGGCGGGGAGGAGAAGGAGTCCGAGCCCGCCAGTTGGATCAGGAGCCAGCCGGTCCCGCGACTCACACTCCGCTTCCCGCAGCATGCCAGGCCCCTGCCTGCTGGCCGCGCTCTGTGGCGCGCTCCTCTGCGTCCCCGGCCTCTTCGCAGCCTCGGGTGAGTGGATCGCGCTTCCGGCCTGTCAGCGCTCCTGCTCTCGGTGCCGCTCGGAAGTTTCGCCGCGGCGTCCTCCCTCCACCTCCAAAACCCAAACCCACTGCTTTCCATCCCCACTCGAGTGGGACTGCCCCTCAGGGTTTCCAAAGCTGTGATATTTACAGAATCAGACTGTCGCGGAGCGGCTGGTGGGTTCAAATCACCGACCAGTGGGTTGGAACAGCAGACCTTTCGGTTAGCAGCCCAGCGCTTACCCACTTCTCCACCAGGGCTCCATCTCCACCTCCTCTGTTTACAAACTTCGTCTAAGCGCCGGAGCAGCGCGGAGGGGCCGCTTCTGATTGCTCTCTGGAGGAAGGAGGGATGGGCGGGCGCCGCCTCTCCAGCTGTCTCTGAGCCATTGAGTTTTAGGCAGTGATGGAGGCGCGAGCGTTGGGCTGGGCGGGGAGTCGGGACACCGAGTGACAGCCCTGCTGCCCCTAGGGATGCGGCTTACACCCAACAAAGGAATCCGCTGTGTTGGGCCTATCTTTTCCCATCTCTAAAATGAGACCATCGAACTGTGTCAGCCTCACGAACCCCTTCCACCTGGAAGATTCCAGGACTCTTGTATTGCTTCTATTATGTTGCAGCCAACTTTCCCAGCAGCTCCCTCCCAGCCCCTTCTCCGCTGGACATTTCATTGTTTTTTTTTTTTTTTTGCGTGCCCACCTGTAGGTGTCTGGTCAGATGAGGGAGGGGCTGGGGAGTCGGTGGAATGGGGTGGAGTGGGCAGGGGCTTTAGGTGGGCCAAGATGGGCTAGGAGTCTTGGGGGAGGTACTTGGAAAAGGGCTGCTTCGTGTGGGGAGTCTCCTTACTCCCTCCCTGTGGCCTTGGCCTTTTATCTCCCCTAGTCCTCCTGCCCACGCTCTGGATCAGGACAGCTGGGCTTCCTGCAAGTTGCTCATAGGGGTGCCTTGGGCGCTAGGGGCATGTGTGCTGCCCATCCTCTTCACTGTGGTGCCCTGTGTCTCCTCCAGGGCTGGGAAGGGGGTGCCTTTTGTGGGGTGAGGGCAAGAACTAACTCTTCAGGCACTCCTTCCATCTTTTCTCATAGAAACGGGGTTGACTGAGGTAAGAGGCCTCACAGCTAGGCCCAGGCTCTGTATCCTGGGACCAGGGTGACCCCAGGCCTGGAGCTGAGACTTCAAGTGCAGTCCAAACTCCCATGGACTTGGGAACTCCTGGCCGTCCCGTCCCCAGCAACCCTGGAAGAGCTCAGCCCTCAAAGTTCTTCTACTCCTGTTCTCTGTCTTCCTACTTGAGCCCTGGCAAAATGTTCCTGGGGAACTCTTCCCAAAGAGCAGGATGTTGAAATCCCAAAGGAGGTTTTTCAGAGGGTGATCTGGCTTTTACTGGAAAGGGGAAGTACCTTATCTGCCCTGCATAGGTGCCCTAGCCCTTGTCAGTATAAGGCCTTTCCAGGTCTAGCATACCTTTCACTTTACCTTCTTACTGGTGCACTGCTTTGAGCAGTATGGTGGTGGTGTGGGGAGGTGTGAGCTTGGGAGGTGCGGGAAGGAAGAGGAGTTGGACTAAGTTGGGACAGGAGTCCAGGACTCTGGCCATTCCCAAGCCTCTGTCTGTGGCAGTGTTGCTGCCTCCCAGGTCAGGGGAGGGATTTAACCTGCTATTTAAAGCCAATGACTAATAGCTCTTTGGGAGCCGCCTTAAGCTCCTGAGGCACATGCTGAGGTGGAGCTATGAGGGTTCATTAATAGTGTTCTCTTCCCTGGAGCCATGGCCTGAGCTCTCTGGGGCTTTGGGATTTCTGGAGGACCCTCCAGCCTGGAATGGGGTGACTCTGGGGGTGAGGAGAAAAGATTGCTCATGTCTTGCCTCAAATGACTGGTTTGGTCCTGGGGCCTGGAATAGCTTTTCTGAAATGCTAAGATCAACTACAGGATCTTCCCGGCCTGGCAGACCCAGTGGGCTGCAGTTCACTGCTTGGTACCAGAGTCAAGGGACTAGGGATAGGCTGGGGTGAGGTGGGTTTCAAGGAACCCATTTTGTGTGTGGAACGTGGGGCCCCCTTGGCCATCCTAATACAGTCATTCAGATCTAAAACCCAAGTGCTCATCTTATCCTCAGTGTACTCTCATTCCTCCTTCTGTGTTCTCCACCATGTCTACTAGGATACATCTATCACCCAAGCCCCCAACCATAAGCCTCTGTGTCCCCTAGCCTCCTTCCACTCTTCAGCCCTTGCTGCGTGTGTCTCTCAAATCCAGCCTTCCTCCTCACCCTCTTTGCCCTGCCTTCCTTTCTCACCAGATGCCTGTGACAGCTTCCTTGTTCTCCGGCCTCTCTCCTCACCCCTTCCAATCTGATTTCCACCCAGTAGCCAAAGGAATCTTTTTGCAGCTACAGGACGCCTCCCTACCCCAGGGGAGCCCATCAGCAGCTCTGCAGATGGGCTGTTTTCAACATTTTCCTTCCTAGAAGTGGCTTCACTGTTCTCTCCTCACAGAGAATTCACTGTGATTTTTTTTTTCCCCCATTGGTGGACAATGATGAGGAGGCTGAAGGAAGGTTAAGAACATTGGCCTGCAGGATGAAAGTCTAAGTGTGTTATTCTTAAGGTCCCTTCTAGTCTGTCCTCAACCTACCTTTCCAGCTGTGTCTGACTGTTCTCCAGTACACCATACTTTTCTATTCCATGCTTCTGCTTGTCTTCAAATGTTCTTTCCTTGTTCCCCAGCCTGGCACACTCTTACTCAGACTTACAGACCTATCTCAGATGTCCTCTCCTCTGTAAGAACTTCCATCTCCTTGCCAGAAATCAAAGGAGCTCTGGTGGCTTAGTACCAAAAAAAAAAAAAAAAAAAAAAAAAAACCAAACTTAACTGCTGTCAAGTCAGATCTGACTCATAGTGACCCCTTCTTGGGTTTCCAAGGCGGTAAATCTTTACGGAAGTAGATGGGCCAATCTTCCTTCCAAGAAGTGGCTGGTGGGTTTGAACTGCCATTCTTCTGGTTAGCAGTCAAATGCCTTAGTCAAATGCCTTAGGCTTTGATTGCTAACCAGAAGGCTGTCAGTTCAAACCCACCAGCTACTCCATGGAAGGAAGACTGGGCAATCTACTTCCGTAAAGATTTACCGCCTCAGAAACCCAAAGGGGGTCGCTATGAGTTGGAATAGACTCAGTGGCAGTGAGGTTTTATTTATTTATTTTTTTAGTTTGGCAGAAATCATACCTTCAATTGCCCCTTGTGCAGGCTGCTTCTGCAAAGCCATATAGTACTTCTTTATAATGTGTTGACCTGCCCACTTCTTTCCCATTAGCTTCTTGAGGCCTGTACTATACCCATCTTCTGTCTCAAGGCCCAGCATGCACATGGTAATTGGCCTCCAAAAAATTTACTGAATGAATGACTTCCTGTCCCTGAGTCAGGGCTGCCATTACAGGTGACTTCTGTGACTCCAGCCAGTGCCTAAATGGTGGGACCTGCCTGGTGGGCCTGGACAGTGCCCCCTTCTACTGCCTCTGCCCTGAAGGCTTCACGGGCCCCACATGCAACGAAACTGAGAAAGGTATCTGCCGTGGGCTGTGCCTGCCATTCCACACCCCTGGCTCCAGGTTGCAGGGGCTTTGACAGATGGGCTGTTCCTGAAGGGGGCAGTGGTCCCTCTCTTGTTGGCCAGCATTACCCTGGAAACTCCCAGGATGCTTCCCTTACTTGGACCGATTCACCTACATGTGCCTATCCTGTCCCCCAGGGCTCCATCAGGCAGATTTGGGTCGGGGGAGAGATAGACAGTGGAATGAGTTTAGGTGGAGGGTCCTTTTGGACTGGGCACATCTGCTGCATCCATCTCTGTCCACAACACCTGCCTGACCACTTATCCATTTTAACTGCCTCCCCAGGTCCCTGTTTCCCAAACCCTTGCCACCACAATGCCCAATGCGAGGTGACTGATGACTTGCACCGAGGGGATGTCTTCGCCCAGTACATCTGCAAGTGCCCTCGAGGTTACACAGGCATCCACTGTGAGACCAGTGAGTATTGGGCATTTACCCATAGGATGGACTTGAGCCCCAGTCCTGGTGGCACAGGCCATGTGCTGAACATATTTCCTGTGGTGAAGCTTCCTCTGGGTAGAGGGAGGGTGGGACAGAGTCTTACTGAGGCCACAAGGGGAAACAGTTCTGTTGCCCCTCTCCAGACTTCTCTCCTCTTGGCCCTCTCTCAAGGGACTGCAGGCTGGGCCCCATGTTGCTCCAGAGGAGGGAGGGATTATGGTGACCTCAGAGGTCATGGGAGTGCTGTTTCCTAGGGCAGCATGAACCAGACAACAGAACACTGGAAGCCTTGGGCTTTTTCTACCAAGAAGGTAAAACAAACATGTTTGTAATCCTTAAGGGCCCAGGAGGTTGGTAAATCAGGCCTGGGCCTTGGGATCTGACAGTTGCTAGCCCAGATCTAAACCATGGCCTCATCATAGAGCTTGGGGAGGAGGAGCAGCCTGGGCAGTGGCTGGGTGTCCACTCACTATTGGGCTGTCAGAGGCCCAGCATGTGCAGAGGGGCTGACCCTGCTTGGCTAGCTACTCAGCCACATAATGGCCCTGGGTGGGTGCCCAGTGACATGGCTGGCCACGGCTCTGCATGCTGTCCTCTGTCCTGGACTCACTGGAGTCTTTCCCATCCTGTGCTCCCATCCAAACAGGAAGCCTCTTCAGCTGCTCTGGGGTGGGTGGCTCCCACATCTGGGCCCAGGGATGGGTGGAGAATAGGGGATGGGGTTCCAGGTTCCTGAAGCAGGCCATAAACATCTCTGGCTGGGGGCCAGGCAGTCTTGTTCCAGGAGATGTGGGGATGGACTCGCTGGTTTGTGGAGGGAAGAAGGCTGGGGCTGGCTGAGTGGGAAACGGAGCCCTGGGGGAGAACAGGTAAGGGACACCCTTTCTCTCAGAGGAGGTGACACTGAGGGCCTGTGCCTTGGGCTCCAGGCTGAGGCCAGCTGTGTTTGAGATCCTGAGTACATGGGTGCGTATGGGAGTAGTGAGGGGCCTGCTGTGACAGACAGCCTAGGGTGGGGCAAGATGGGCTGACTAGTTACTGTGCTCAGAGTAGGGGTAACCATGGGTATACCTTAGCTGGAATTACCCACCAAGCCACCTTCAGGCTCTTTGGCCCAAGGTTTGCCCAGGCTGTGTATGGCGGCACCTGGGCAGAAGGCAGGAGGTGACCACACAGGCAGGACCTTTGATTGTTTTATAGAGTGCTTTCTGGAGCCAACAGGTCCAAAGAATGCACATTTGGGCCCTTCTGTATGGCTCCATAAGGATTTCTGGTGGCGTAGTGGTAAGGCATTTGGCTGTTAACCAGAAGGTTGGCAGTTCAAACCCACCAGTTGCTCCATGGGAGGAAGATGAAGCAGTCTACTTCCGTAAAGATTTATAGCCTTGGAAACCCAACTGGGGTTGCTATGAGTTAGAATCAACTCGACGGCAGTGGGTTTGGTTTTTTGGTTTAGGTATGGACTCCTGGAGGCAGACGATTCAGCTCTCTGCTCAGGCCCTGAGCACCTCTGATCCTGGGCTTGCGGCTTCAGCTCTTTGTGTCTTACCCTCTGCATGAGCTTGGGCTGCCTGAGGGTACTTAGCAAGGGCAGATCTGCCCCTGGGTTCTCTGCCTGCAAGGGATCCCTGGGGGATGAGAGAGGAGGCTTGGCCCATTGGTGGACCTGATAGCTGGCCTGAAACCCCTTCTCCCAATCTGGTACCGCATCACCACATAACTAGGGCGGTGGTGAGGGTGGCAGTCACAGGCAGCTGGGCCGGGACCAGCAGGTAGAAGGAGCAGAGGGTACCAGAGAGAAAAGAATGATATTCATGTCCCACCCCAAAACTTCTGCCAGTGGGATTCTAGAAAACTCTAGGCACATTTGCTTATTTATGTACAGTGCACTTACTGTTCACTGCTGTCTGGGGCACCCCTTCACTTGAAGACCCCCACCTCCTGGGAAAGCCAGGTGTTGGGGGGTGAGAAAGAGGGGTTTACACTGGTATTCTTTCCTACCACTCGATCCCCGACACTAGAATAATGCTGCCAGGGCCCTGTAGGAACGAGGCTCCACTGACCAATCATGGCAGTCCCATGAATGCCGGCCCAGCCTGCATCCTCCTTGGAGCTCTGGGTCTGACTGGTCCATGACTGCCAACTTCTCTCTCTCATCCCTACCTCAGCTTTACTGTGCCTTCTCATGGTCTCCCTTTTGTGCATCATCCATGTTACCCCTTTGTGGTCCTTGCTCTGGGGGAAGGCTCTGAGGTTTTCTCTGGCTCTGGGTCCAGACAGAGGCCACCCTGCCTTACTTTCTTGTCTTCTGGGTCCCCCCTCGCCCTGGCACCTGCAGGTGGAGCCTGACTGCTGTCTTCTCTTCCAGGCTGCACCATGCCGCTGGGCATGGAGGGGGGTGCCATCGCTGATTCACAGATCTCTGCTTCCTCGGTGTACTTGGCCTTCATGGGTCTGCAGCGCTGGGCTCCGGAACTGGCCCGCCTGCACCGCACAGGCATTGTGAATGCCTGGACAGCCAGCAACTATGACAGAAACCCCTGGATCCAGGTGTGGACAAGTGACTGCCAGGCCTCGTGAGGGATGGCCCTTGGGCTGACTGATAGAGGGCTTGCTTGGCCATGGAGGGGAGAAGGTGGGATGAGTGGGCCTGCATGGGAGAGCCACTGGGGGTGGGGCATGGTTCATAATGGATCCAGGTGGCAATGCAGCAGGTGCTCACAGGTGAAGGGAGAGGTGTGTGTGTCTCGTAAGTAGAAGGCAGCCTTGGGGGGCCTGGATGCAGGGAGAACAGACCCCGGTCTGTGGCAGGCACTGCTTGTCCTGAATTAGGGGGCCTTGCCCCTCCTTGTGTACTTCCATGGGCACTGGGCCCAGAGTCCTGCAAGGAACATATGAGAAAGTCCCCTGCCAGGGCAACATGCTACCTCCTTTGTTCTGCTTGTGTTTTTCCCCCTCAGTTGGGGGAGTACTGGGGGTAGGTTGGTCTGGACCCTAGATGGAGAGAACTTGGGAGACAAGAGTACTGCTCTCTTTGGTCCCCGTCCAGGTGAACCTGCTGCGGAAGATGCGGGTGACGGGCGTGGTGACACAGGGCGCCAGCCGTGCGGGCAGTGCTGAGTACCTGAGGACCTTCAAGGTGGCTTATAGCCTCGATGGGCGCAAGTTCCAGTTCATCCAGGATGCAGAGGGGCTTGGAGACAAGGTGGGGCTTGGTGGAGCCCTAAAGGAGGACTGTGGTCAGCACCCCTTGGGGCTTTAATGCCGTCTGAGGGGCCCCAATGAGGGGAGGGTACCCTGGTCCATTAGCTATGAGGTGGGCTTTCAGGTGTGTCTTGGTTCTCAGAACTTAGGAAACCCAGATTGTGCCCTTGTGCTGTGGTTGTAAGTAGTAGTTCTGTTTTATAGATAAAGGGAATGAGACTCAAAAAGGTAAAATGGCCCGTTGAGGGTGGTGGTAGAGCTGAGGTGCATTCTGTGAGCCTCCAGGGCCACCATGTACAGTTGTGCAGGTTATACACTGCTCACAAACACATTACCAAGTTGGTACCGTTCACATTGTAGACAGCATATGTTTCATATACCAGAAAATAGTCATGATGAAGTATGTTGAGTGCAGAATACCTTTCTCTAATTTGCACAGAAGCATCCTACAGGTTAGAGGTAGCTCTCTGAAAAAGACAGCCTTGTGCCTAGGACCCCATGATGACCAAGGAGGATATCAAACCAAACTTACTGCCATCAAGTCGATTCCGACTCACAGTGACCCCCATTGGGTTTTCAAGGCAATAAATCTTTACAGAAGTAGATTGCCCCATCTTCCTTCTGAAGAGTGGCTGGTGGATTTGAACCACCAGCCTTCTGGTTAGCAGTCAGATGTCTGAGGAGTGTACCACCAGAGCTCCTTAAGGAGAATAAAGAAAGGGAATCTGTGTTGGGGCTGTGGGAAGGCCAAAGGAAGGGCTGATACCCAAGCTCCTGCTAACTCTGCTAAGTCCCTCCCAGCTTCACCTCATTGCCTTTGAGAGCTGAAGAGGAAGGTGAGGCAACCCCAGGAAGTGGGACTACCCACACTGACTGATTCCCTTAATCCGCCTGTCCTTCCTAGGTGTTTGTGGGTAATGTGGACAACAATAGCCTGAAGATGAACCTGTTTGACTTCCCTCTGGAGACACAGTATGTGAGACTGGTCCCTGTGGTCTGCCGCCGGGGCTGTACCCTCCGCTTCGAGCTCCTTGGCTGTGAGTTGAATGGTGAGTGCCGGGGGCTGTGGCCACTCCTAGGACATGGTCTACCCTGCTTCTACTTTTCTCAGCCAAGCTGAGCTGGATAGGCAGCGGTAAGGCCCAGGAACCTAGGCTAACACACAGACAGGAGATGCCCACTAGAGTATTTGTCCTCTGCCACCCTGTGGCCCTGGGCATCATAGCTAGTAGGAGAAAAAAGACATTATAGGCCATTAATCCTTGGATTACAAATGAGTTCTATTTCTGATTTGTATGTAAGTTGGAATAATTAGGTAAGGTTTGTACATAACATCAGTTGGTTAAATGTCTGTCTTAGTATATAGTATACCTTCTTATGCATAAGAAAAACATTAAAGAAATACTTCTAAATACACTAAAACATTTTTAACCCTAAAAATGCAATTAATGATGGTGTTTTGACATGCATCACAAAGTAGCGCCTGTTTGTTATTATGAACCATTGTACGTACCATTAGTTCATTGAGTTGATTCCAGCTCACGTGACTCCCTTATCTGCAGAATAGAACTGTGTTTCATAGGATCTTCAAGGCTGTGATCTTTCACAAGCAGATTGCCAGAGCTGCCTTCTGAGTTGCCTCTGGGTAGATTCGAACCACCAACCTTTTGGCTTATAGTCAAAGTGCTTAACCATTTGTGCCACCTGGGAACTCCTTTAATATCTGTACTGAAAAAAGCAAAAATCAAACTCCTTGCTGTCTAGTTGATTCAGACTCATAGAGACTTCTTAGGACCGAGTGGAACTGCCCTGTGGGGTTTCCAAGCCTGTACTCTTTACAGAAGCAGACGGGACACATCTTTCTCCCATAGAGCAGCTGGTGGGTTCAAACTTCTGACTTTTCATTTAGCAGCCAAGTGCTTAACCACTATGCCACCAAGGCTCCTTTAACATCAATAGAAGTGCACAATAAATATTGATGTGTGAATGAATGAGGAAACTGAGGCTTAGATTATTTGTTGTTTATTGAGGGCACACAGTTGGTAGGCATTAAAGCTTTGACTAGATCCCTGGGCTTCTAACACCCACTCCTCCAGTGCTTTCCCTCATAAATGTCCTATAGTTTTCATTCGAGAGACACATGGTGGCTTCTAGGGCCGTAGGTCTGAAACTGGTGCTTCCTGCTGCCCTTTCCAGGGAGATTCTCTGATGAAGAGATGGGAAAAGCAGAAATGAACAGATTTCAGCTGAGCTAGGAAAATCTCAACACTGACTAACTTGAGGAGCCCACAGTGTCTCAGCAGCTCTACTCTATCCTGGCTCAGCCAAGCTTTCTTCTGGAGGGCTGTGTATTTCCCTTCCTTTGCAGCCATAGTGCCACCTGCTGGCAACATGTGGAACTGCAGGGCTCACTAGGCGGAACTGAGGAGCAGACGTGGCTAGCCTGTCTTGCTTGTCTTAGCCAAGACCTGCATTCCTGTGCCCCCTTTTCTCCTCTGTTTTCCCATTCCAGAGACTACCCAGTACCATTCAGAACTGAGTTCTCTGCCTGGCTGGATTTAGTCTTTTTATGTTTGGTGTGGCAGATTTGTGTGTTAACTTGGCTGGGCCTGATTGAGTGGCTGGGCAGCTGGTGGTAGTTATTCCCCATGATGAATCAGCTCCATGGTGGGATCTACCACACGCAGCTGAGTAGCTGCCTTAGGGAATGTGGTCTGCTTCCCGTATATAAGCAGCAGCTTTGGGAATGGTCTCTAGCTTATGGCACGCTTGGACCCTGCATGTAGCCCGTGTTGTTTAGCAGCTTGCTGTGCTCTGCCGACCTTGGCACTTACAGTGGACTTAAATTAATGGCTTGCTGTGTGGTTTGGTAACATTGGGACTGTGCATTTTTACTTGTCAACCTTGGGTTTGTCAGCTTCAGTAGCCAGTAGCTGTCTGAGTAAAGAAATGCCTCTAGCTCCAGTGGGCCAGTAACAGGAGGCAGAACTGGACGCCAAGGTGGAGGGGCTTTCACACAGCCCATAGAGCCTGGCACTTTGAACTTGGACTTAAAGCCTCCTGCTTAACTGTGAGAGAATAAACTGTTTGTTAAGGCCATCCCATTTGTGGTATATTCTTGTTAGAGTAGCACTAGGTAACCAGAACTGAATTTAACTTAATTCAGTGTATTTGTGTGTTCCCTCTCCTAGGCTCACTGCCTTTTAAGTCTCACCATTTAAGTGGTGAGTAAAAGATTGCCTTCTGCTAAGAGGTCTTCTAGGCAAATGGTGGTTAAGCACTTGGCTGCTAACTGAACGGTGGTTTGAACCTACCAGCCACTCTGTGGGAGAAAGATGTGACAGTTTGCTTCTATAAAGAATAAAACAAAAAACAAACTCACTGTTGTTGAGTCGATTCCAACTCATAGCAACCCCTCCTTGGGTTTCTGAGGTGGTCTCTCTGTGGAAGTAGATTGCTCAGTCTTCCTTCTGAGGAGTGGCTGGTGGGTTTGAACTACCAGCCTTCTGGTTAGCAGTCAAATGCTTTAGGCACTATGCCCCCAGAGCTCCCCTATAAAGATTACAGCCCTGGAAACCCTGTGAGGCAGTTCTACTCTGAACTATAGGGTCACCATGAGCTAGGATTGACTCAGAGACAATGAATGGTAAAGGTCCCTGGGTGGCACAAATCGTTTGTTCTTAGCTACTAGGCTCAGCATTGGTAGTTCAGACCCGCTGAGCAGAAAGGCCTGGTGAACTATTTGCATAAGATTGCATCCAAGAAAGCCTTGTGCAGCAATTCTACTTTGTAGCACGTGGGCTTGCCATGAGTCACAATTGGCTTGGTAAAGGACAGAACCAGGTCTGTGAGAGCTCACCCTGTGTCCTCTTCCTGGAGGCCCATGCCTCCTACTGTGGTGGTCTGAAGCCTTTGGCTTGAGAATTACCTTCATGACCTGTTAACAGCTGATGCCCTCGTAAGGCCAAGAGTGGGAGAACCTCAGAAAATTGAAGTGAAGCCACTCTGCCTACTTCTTCTAGGACAGGGCCTCCTTTCCCAAGTAGGCATTCCAGCTGGCTGGAGAAAGAGAGTGTATGTGTGTATGTGTATGTTTGTGCATGTGTCTGGGGCAGAGGTCTGGGTATCCCTGGGTATCCACAGAGGCACTGGTGGCCTGCACCAGGATTCCTCTTCCCAGGCTCTGGGTCCTTATGTATTAGGCTGGGTTCTCTAGAGAAGCAAAACGAGTAAAGCTTATAGATACAGAGACATATAGAGAAAGAGAAATTTATCTTAGGAAAATGGCTCACACACTTATAGAAGCTGGCAAGTCCCAAGTTCTTGGATCAAACGTCAAGCTGGAGGTGTTTCCCGACTCACACAGCTGCAAGGGCTGACGAGCTCAAGGTTGGCAGGAAGTATACCAGCTGTTGACTCTAACAAATGACGAATCCAAGATCTCCAGGCCGAGTGGTGCATTGTTTGCTCACAGACAGTTGTAGGCAGCAAAACAGGATCCTGATCCACAGAAAAGTGTCTCTTTTCTCAGGATGTCCATAAATACATTGGAAGCAGGCTATACCCCTAGGGAAACTCTTTTTCAGTGGATTGGCTGCTCAAAACATATACATCCAATCCCGTCATGGGAATAATCTGCATCACAACTGCTTAAACCCCACAGAATTGTGGTCCAGCCAAGTAGACACACAGGTCCAACTATCACACTTGGTGAATTGATTATTTAATTCAATGGATATTTATTAAGATGTTTATTAAGCTGTGCACCCAGCTCTAGGGAACAATATAGGAGAGATCCCTGATGCCATGTCTTGTATTCCAGTGAGGGAGACCAACTTGAGACAAGGGAAGAAATAAGTGAAAGACCAGATAATGCTTAAAAGCTATGAAGGGAAAACTAGGGATTGACTGTGGGGTGTGGGGAGTGGAGGAGGAAAGGAGACTCTGGGAATGCTTTGGTGGGATGGCCTTGAATGAGGGTGACTTAGTGGGAGCCATGGACCGCTAGAAGAACAAACAAATCTGTCCTGGAAGAAGTGCAGCTAGAATGCTCTTTAGAAGCAAGAATGGCCAGACTTTATCTCACTTACTTTGGTCATGTTATCAGAAGGGACCAGACCCTGGAGAAGGATATCATGCTTGGTAAAGTAGAGGGTCAGTGAAAAAGGGGAAGACCCTCAACAAGATGGACTGACACAGTGGCTGCAATGATGGGCTCACACATAGCAAGGATTGTGAGGCTGGTGCAGGACCGGGAACAGTGTTTCATTCTGTTGTACATAGTGTTGCTATGAGTCAGAGCTGACTTAACGGCACCTAACAATAATAGCCATGGAAGAAGCTTGGAAAGAGTGTTTCAGGCAGGGGGGGAATCAGTGAGTGCAAAGGCCCTGGGGTGTGCTGAAGGGTAGAAAGAAGGCCATTGGGGCTGGAGCCTAGACAGTGAAGAGAACTTGATGGGTGCTGAGGCTGTAGAGGTGGTGGGGGCCAGACCAGGCAGGGTCTTGTGAACCATTTTGAGTTTTGTATCTTTATCCAGAGACAAGTGGTAGCCATTATTTGGGGAGTGCTAATAGGACTAGATTCGATTTGTTTCTAGAAAGTTCTTTTAGGCAATGGGAGAATGGGGCAGAGGGCTCAGGGGAGACTTGTGGGAAATTATAGACTCAACCATCTCAGAGGTGATGCCAGCTTGGACTAGGATTGGTGGATTCATCGAAGTGAGTGGATTAGAGTCCTCTACTCAAAGGATCAGCGGTACCAGCATCATACCCAGATGTGTGTTAAAAATGCAGATTCCCTGCCCCATGTTAGACCTGCTGAAACAGAATCCTCCTTTTTATAAGACATCAGATGGTCTGTGAGAAGCACTATAATAGTACCTCCTAATTTTACACATGGAGAAACTGAGGCCTATTGAGGAGAAGGGACTTCCTAGGGTCACATAGCATAGTGCCTAAGGCACTTGACTGCTAACCAGAAGGCTGGTGGTTCAAACCCACCAGCCACTCCTCAGAAGGAAGATGGGGCAATCTACTTCCGTAGTGATACTGTCTCGGAAACCCAAGGAGGGATCACTATGAGTCAGGTCTGACTCGATGGCACATAACAACAACAGGGTCACATAGTGAATGATGGAAGCAGCCTCCAGCGAGGAGTCCTGGCCCTTGTCCCAGAACCCTTCTCAATTGTATTTTACCTGGAAAGCTGTCTAACTTCCTGGAGAGGCCTGGAGTGATAGGGGAATGAATGGAGGTATATGATCTATAGAAGGGTCCACCTGGAGCACATGATGAATTGACAATGTCCTCTGCAAAGCCCAGGCTTTAGGCTGTCTCAGTCAGGCTCTCTACAGGTCTGGAGCCAAGAGACAAGCCACTTCCCAGCCCAGTTGCCAGTCTTTGTGGGAGAAGGGTGGTGGTTACCTGGTGCAGCATGGTCATCAGGAACTGGTGGTGCCATTGGTAGGCAACACACAAGAGGCAAATATCTTTAATGGCAAAGGTACAAGCAGCTGGGGAGACAGTGAGATAAAGCCTCCTCCCAGGACTCCACACAAATTCCCCAGAGGGACAGGCAGTCAAGGTATGAGGATTCTGCCAGGCGTGAACACACCCATCATTGTCTTGGGAGGTCATGTGATCACTTAACCAGGTGCAGATGATTAGTACAGAACAGCACACACATTCCTGAGTGTTTGGGGTGGGCGAAGGGAAATGAAGGTCAGCTCCTCAGGAGCAGCCCTCCCAGGTCTCCCAAACCCCAGAAAGATTGATTGAGTGAATGAGAGAGACTCTGTGGTAGACACTGAGGGAGGGGCTGCTGGGGATGGACACAGGATCCTGAGCCCCCAGCAGTTCTCTGAGTTGTTGACCAGGAGCTACTGGAGGGTGGGAATGCCATCTTCATCATCACCGGGTCACCAGGTCACCCTTCTTGTGTTAGGGTGGAGTGTGTGGATGGTGGAGATAACATCAAGGTGTGGCATGGTGCTTAGAAGTTTGTGTGTGTATCACGTGGGCACAATGCCTTAATGTCTTTTGGCCTTAGTTTTCTCATCTGTGGTATAGGGTTTGTAATACCTACTTAAAACACTTTTTGTGGTAGATCAAATGAGTTTATTAGGAAGCACTGAATAAAGAAATGGTTGGGTTTGCCATAAGTTAGAATTAACTTGGTGGGTTTGATTTTAGGTTCTTGGGTGGGAGTTCTGGTGGCATAGTGCCTAAGGCATTTGACTGCTAAGCAGAAGGCTGGTGGTTCAGACCCACCAGTCACTCCTCGGAAGGAAGACTGTGCAGTCTACTTCCATAGAGATACTGCCTCAGAAACCCAAGGAGGGGTTACTATGAGTTGGAAACGACTCCACGGCAGTGAGTCTGGTTTTTTTGGTTTGGGTGGTACATGTGGTTTGCTCTTGGCTACTAACTGAAAGGTTGGTGATTTGAACTCACCCAGTGGTACCATGGAAGAAAGGTCTCGTGATATGCTTCCATTATGATCATAGCCATTGGAGCTCAGTTTTACTCTAACACATGGGGTCACCATAGTTTGGTTTTAGCTTATTATGTTCTTGATGACACCCCTAGGATGCGGCAGTGTAGCTACAGTTGCATCATAGAGAAGTGCTGTGAGTCCAGAGAAGGGAGAAGTTCTACCTAAGTGAGGTGATCAGGACAGGCTTCCTGGAGGGAGGTGTCTTATAAGTCAGACCTTGAAGTGGGTGGGAAGTGGTGGAGCAGGGGCTTCCCTGGTGCTGAGTTAGAAGAGTGGTGGGTGGGAGGTCTTGTGTGATCTGTGAGGGGTCATTTGGAGTTGGGGGTGGGAGCTGAGACTGTTGGCTGAGGTGAGGAGAGGACAGAGAGGGTGTTGGTGAGTCAGACAGTGAGAACCATTGGCTGGGAGAGGCAGAGGGACCTTCTTTCTGTCGTCCCAGAGGATGTCAGGGACGGATCGGGACACACAGAACTTCTTCCCTTTGATGCCCTATGCCCACACGCTGGGGAGCCTGTGAATCCCAGTATCTGGTGACAGCCCTCCTTGCTGGCAGGATGCTCTGAACCCCTGGGCCTGAAGGACAACACCATCCTCGATAAGCAGATCACAGCCTCCAGCATCTTCAAGACCTGGGGCTTGAATGCCTTCAGCTGGCATCCCTCCTATGCACGCCTGGACATGCAGGGCAAGTTCAACGCCTGGACTGCTCAGAGCAACGATGCCTCGGAGTGGCTGCAGGTGGGGCCAGGCCTTCCAGGGTGTGGGGCTGGGGTTGGCTGGGGTCAGGAATCTTTGACCTGTGCCCTGCCCAGGCTTCTGCTCCCTAAGAGGGTTTCTAAAAGCCTTGTTTTTCTCTGACTTTCCTCTTTCTTCCCCCCACATGCCCCACCTTTCTCCTGATCCTGTAACTGCAGAGGGAGTGAGATGGGGGCAGGAGCGCAGTGCTGTTTCCACCAGGGCGCTGAGGTGGAAAAAGAGAGAATGTGTGTGTGTGTGTCTGTGTGGTTAGGGGTACAGCCACCTCCTTTAGCTGCCCTAATAAGGCTTAGCCCACAGCCAGCAAGACAGGAGAGGGGAGGGAGACTTGACTGGTCTCCCTCAGGACTCTCTCAGGACTTCTACCTGAGAGAAGAGCAGTTATTCTGATAGTGTTGAGTTATCAGAAGTAAGACAGCTGTAAGACAGCTCTTGGATTTGGTTGAAGCTGGAAACCAAAAAAGCCAAACTTAACTGCCATTGAGTAGATTTGGATTCACAGCGACCCCTATTGGGTTTCCAAGGCAGTAAATCTTTACAGAAGTAGACTGCCTCATCTTTCCTCTGCAGAGCAGCTGGTGGGCCCAAACCACCAACCTCTTGGTTAGCAGCCAAATGCCTTAACCACTGCATCACCAGAGCTCCTTTGGAAACACACAAGACTCACGGAAAACTCATTTTATAGAGGAGGAAACTCAGTCCCGGCAGGATTAGGAGTTGCCTGAGTCTTATGTGCTGGTTGGCAGTGAGTTGGGTTTGGAACCTAGGTCTTGGGGTCTGCTTGTCCAGGGGCAGCTGGCAGTTTCCCAGGATGGTCAGAGATGAGCTGAGGAGATGGACCGGTCTGTCTGTAGGTCCCCAGGAGCCCACTGGCTACCTTACTTTGCACTCCCTTAGTACCAGTAAGGTACTAAGGGAGCTCTGGTAGCATAGTGGCTAAGATACTTGCCTGCTAACCAGAAGGCTGGCGGTTCAAACCCACCAGCCACTCCTCGGAAGGAAGGTTGGGCAATCCTACTTCCGTAGTGATACTGCCTCGGAAACCCAAGGAGGGGTTGCTATGAGTCGGGTTTGACTCGACGGCACATAACAACAACAACAACAGTACCAGTATAAGGCTTTGGACAGCCCTGCACATCCTTCAGAGCAGTTAATTCCCATATAGATTGTGGGATCTCCTGACTGTTCTTATCATACCCCAGTGTAGTTTTAAGGCAGGACTGGGATTGACGTTGGCCACTGAGCTTCATCTGCAGTGAAGTGCCTAGCACTGTATCTGGTAAAGTAGGTTATATTATTTATGCCCATTTTAGAGGTGAAAAAACTGAGGTCAGCCAAGTGAAGTAGTTGGGATTTGATTACTGGTGTGTCTGCCTCTTTCCACTGTAGTGGAAATGATCTAGGAAAAGAAATGGATCTCTTGTAGATTGACCTGGGTTCCCAGAAGCGGGTGACAGGCATCATCACCCAGGGGGCCCGTGACTTTGGCCACATCCAATATGTGGCAGCGTACAAGGTGGCCTACAGTGACGATGGCAAGAACTGGACTGAGTATAAGGAGCGTGGGGCCGTGGACAGCAGGGTGAGTGTCTGTCTGTCTGCTGCCCTCCCTTTGCCTCTCCTGGGTACGCAGGGGACTGACCTGGGGCTCTGGGAGGAGGGGGTAGGGCTGGGGCTGGGGCCCTCCTGACACCCCCTCTCCTTCCAGATCTTCCCCGGCAACTCAGATAACAACTCGCACAAGAAGAATGTGTTTGAGACGCCTTTCAAGGCCCGCTTTGTCCGTGTGTTGCCCGTGGCCTGGCACAACCGCATCACCCTGCGCATGGAGCTTCTGGGCTGCGAGTTGTAACCCACTCTGCTACTTGCTGGAGGGACTGGTCAGGCTGTGAGGGTGTGGGGAGGATCAGCCCCTTCTCCCCTTCAGTGGGCCATCACGCCCTCCGCCTCCTGCTGATTGTAGCCAGAGCAGGGGTCAGGGAGGGGCTGGGGTATTAGGAGGAATTGCCAGGCAGTTCCCATCACCTCCCTGCCTCATACTGACCCTTAACCTCCCACAAACCCCCAGGGTAGGGGTCTTCCCTCATGCCACCCTATTTTCTTAGGCACTACAGGAGTTGAGTGGGTCTGGTGTAGACAGCAGGGGCCCAGGAGGGGATGTGGGTTACCCATACATTTCCACCTCCCTGGTCCCTGACACTGGTGGACTCTAGAAGGGCCTTGTGTCCTCCCCAGCCTCTGCCCACACTACATACCCCCAAGCACCAGAGGAAGGCTCCAGGCGCCAGGCTGGAGATAATACTCCCACAATCCCCAGAGACTGGAGGCCACCTACCCTCCCCCCCTTACTTTCCCCCTTATCTTCCTGGAGACTTCTCTTGACCCTTGTCCTGAAGCCTAGTAAGAGACAGAGCGGGTGAGGTGGCTCTCTGGAGAGAGCGTTGTGGGGGGAGATGGGGTGGCTGGGCTAGGGGAGGGCACCTCTGTGCTGGTTCTTCACCCGGAGTACACAGGCAGCTTCCAAAATATATTTATATTATCCACTGGGACTCTTGCTGTGGTTTGGTTTATCATTGCTTCGTGGTAGTGAGTTTGGGTTTGTGCTGCTTTCTTCATCCTCAGTTCTACCTGAGCCCCAACCTTCTTTGTGTTTCCTGCCCAACTACAAATAGCTTAACAGCAGCAGGAGGGAGGAGACCATTGGGTTTTCCTAGTGGATTGCCAGGAGTCACTGAGTGGTGTAACTAGTTATCCACTCACCTACTAACGGAAAGGTGGGCAGTTTGACTCTATCCAGAGGTGCCTCAGAAGAAAGGCCTGGCCATCTGCTTCTGAAAAATCATCCATTAAAAACCTTACGGGCACAGTTCCCTGAGACTCACAGAGTTACCATGAGTTGGAGTCAGCTTAATGGCAACTGTTTTTTTTTTATCGGAAGGTCAGACTTCCAAGTTACAGAGGTGTGCCCTCTTCCCCTCAGTGCCCCTGCATCCCAGGGGACTTGAGAGCCCAGAGCTGTTGTCCCAGGGTATGCCTGGCACAGAGGCTATCTTCACCAAGTCACGTTCTGCCTTTGCTCCCACACCAGGAAGATAGGCTGCCCAGTTTCCTCTTCTGCAGTTTCCATTTTGTCTGCCACTGGAGCAGTGGGCTGGAGAAATTATTAGAAACAACGTGGGCTGCTCCCAGGAGGCCCTGGGGGTGGGGGGCAGTGTGGAATGGGGAAGGGGGCTGAGGCTTTGCAAGTGAGTACACTCGGAGGCCACTGGCCTGTTCAGGGCTGGAGGACAGCTCTGCCCTCCCCCATGAAGGGCCTGTTGGGAAGTGGCCAGTAGGTGGGGCAGAGAAGGCCAGAGCCCTGGGGATCTGGGATGGGGGCTAGCCAATAGAGAAGGGACTGACTTGATGGGAAAGGGGCTTAAGAAGCCACTGTAGTATTGGAGGTTTGGGATACAGGGTGAATTTTTTGGACCAAACTTTGAGAGCCAATATGGGATATGCTGCTAAGCAGCAGCAGGGGGTCTGGCCAAATAGCTATGGAGAGAGGGTGAGGGTTTGCTGGAACCTCATCAGGGAAATCAGTCTGGAAGTGGCTCCTTCTTGAGGGCTGTTGGTGCCAGGGCTTCTTGGCAGGGCAGGGATAGAATAAAAGGCGCAGGCCTTTGAAATGAGGGTGGGAGGGTCCCTGTCCCTGGGGCTCACCCCATCTGTCTCAGCTCTCCTTGGAGCTGAGTGGAACTCCCTTCTGGAGCACTCCTACCCCCAACCCTGGTTCTGATCTCCCCTGGGACTAGCAGACAGCAGGGGAGGCACCTCTTCCCAACTACTCTGGCTCTGGGATGGGCCTGTCTCCCAGTAACTGAAGCTATGGCCTGGCTGGAACCCAGGAGTTCTGCTCTGCCAGTGGGGCAGCTGAGCCCAGGGGAGTCAGGCTTGAGCTTCAGTCCCATCAGTCAACTTGTCCCTACTCAAATACATTGAGTAATTTCTGTGGACCAGTCTCATCGGACCCCTGGCTTTTCAGGCTTGTGGGCAGTGGCCACAAGGCCTTCACCTGGGCAGGAGACACAAGATGATGCTGGAATCACTAAAGCCACCTCACTCCATTCCTCCTCTCACCTTTTCAGCTTTAGAAGTCTTGGCTATGCATGACCTTTCAGAAAGTTCCACTCCTAGGACCCTGCTTTGGTTCTCTAGTGCCGCTCGAGAAGATTTGTGGTTTCTAGATACCACAAATGGGTGGTCTTAATAAATGGATTTATTTTCTTACAGTTTAGGAGGCTAGAAGTCTGAGTTCAAAGTGCCAGCTCTAGAGGTTGGGTGAAGGCCCCTCAACCTTAGGCTTTAGCCCTGCCTCTTGCTCCTGGCCCACTGGAACTAGAGGTGTCTTTTCACTCAGGTAGCTGCTGGCTGCTGAGGCTGACACACCCAAGGTCAACTAATAAAATAGCACAGTCCCAATATTACCAAACAACATGGCAGGCCACTAGTTCAAGTCCAGAGACAGTCCCAAGATTGGCAGGAAATACGACAGGCTGCTAAATGAATACTTGACTATATGCAGGGTCCAAGTACGCCAAAAAGCTGGAGGACCTTTCTTAAAACTTCTTACAGACTGGAAGCAGACCACATCCCTAAGGCTGTTCTGGTAGAGTCCACCATGGAGCTGATCACCAATCTCATGAGGAATAACCACAGACATCTGCCCAGCCACTCAAAACCAGGCCCAGCCAAGGTGACCAAACAAACAAACAAACTCGCTGCCATCGAGTTGGATCCAACTCCTACTGACTCCTCAGGTTTCTGAGGCAGTATCTCTACGGAAGTAGATTGCCCAGCCTTCCTTCTGAGGAGTGGCTGGTGGGTTGAACTGCCTGCCTTTCGGTTAGCAGTCAGATGCCTTAGGCATTACACTACCCAGGCTCCCAGCCAAAGTGACACATAACCTTAACTACCACAGACCTTGTGATGCTTTGTGGGGCCTCTTCACCCACTCCGGACCTGTGTTTTCTGGGCTACTTCTATTCCTTGATAGTCTTCTCTGTGTCCATGGCTTTCACCATCACCTCCATGTATTTAGTTTTGTATTGACTGCCATCCTGAGAACCAGTGAGGAGATTATGCTGGTGATCTCTTATCCCTTATGTAACAAAACTGGACTTCTGTGCAGTGGTCAGTGCTGGGGCCTGTTGATCCTGCCTCTACCAGGACTCCGGCCTCCTTTTATTTCCTGGTTTAAATATAGTGCAGTAATTAGGAGCTTAAAGTCTCAAGTCAGTCACCTCTCTGGTCTTTAGTTCCCTCATCTCTAAAATGGAAACAATAGGATGACTCCATTGCATTGTGGGCACTAGATGAAATAACGCACACAAGCATTGATGCAAAGCCTGGCCCAGTGGAGGCTGCAAACTCCCTGGTCATCCTTGCTAGAAAGGCTTGCAAAGTTTCCTGATTGGTGCTTGTGTCCTGTTTATTTTTCCTCCAATCCATCCTGCACACATGGTCAGAAGTGTCTCTTCCCTGCAGAGGAACTGCCATTAGTTCCCTTTTTCCTGTCAAGTCTGGCATTTACCCTCTAGTTAACCTCTGCTCTGCTAACTCTGTGCTATTTGCTCCCAACACTCACTCCTCTCTCTCTCTCTCTCTCTCTCTCTCTCTCTCTCTCACACACACACACACACACACACACACACACACACACGCAGCCCAGGAAAGACTGGTTAGGCGTGTGTGGGTAAACTGGCCCCAGAAATTGTTCGTGGGTAGCACAAACAATTAAGCACTTAACTACTAACTGGAAGGTTGTCAGTTAAAACCCACCCAGAGGTGCCCAGAAGAAAGACTTGGCAATCTGCTTCTGAAAACCTGGTGGGCACAGTTCTACTCCACAACACATGGGTCTCTGAATAAGAATGGACTCCACAGCAATTGTGGTTTTTGATACGCACACTGTCTTGAGGTGTGTTTAGGAAGAGCTCTGGGCTTGGAGACCCCATGGCCCATCTTCCAGCCAAAGCTAAAGGCCCCCTTAGATTTTTCTTCTGAGGAATAATTGGGCTATCCAAGCCAGGGCCCCCCATTGGTCTGGACAAGAAAACACCCTTTCCAAACAGCCATGCTGGTGGGGGCCACTGGGATGGCTGTGGTGTGCCTCCCCTTCCACGAGACCACTCAAGCTACACTTACTGGGGACAGCATGGACTGTGCTTGGCACTGTTTTGGCTGGTGATTTCATGATGGCCAAACTCGGGGGCAGGAGTATGTCCCCAAGCCCCTTGTTTCTTACAGAGGGAGGGGAAGGCATTCAGGACTCTCACTCCTCCCTCTGGGGTTGGGGGTAGCAGCCGTGTTCACCTGCAGAGCACTAAAGAGGGGATCCCACTGTTTTTGGAAAATTAATGGCTCTCTCCTACAAACGCCCCTTTCCCATTCACCTCCTCCCCCAGGATGTGACAGCCTCAACTCCTGGGGGCTCCTTTCATCGATCATCCGGCTGCTCCACTGCCGCTGCTGGGTGGTCGCCAGCCGGGTCTGGAGATTGCCCACGTCTGCAGCAACTCCTTCCTTCGGGACCAGACCTTGGGAGGGAAAGGGGCGTGTGTTCCTTTAAGGGGCTGGCCTGGCGGGAGCGCAGGGGTTTGTCCCAAGCCATTTCCTTTCTGGCAATTCGAGATACCCAAATCTGCCTGCTGCCTCGGACCCGGGCAGCCAGAGGCCCTGGGCGTTCGAGCCGTCTAGGGGTAGCCCTTGGACGGTAGGTGGCTCCGGGCTAGTCAGACTCCTGGGGCCCTCTGCAGCCGGTTTCCTCTCTCTCCATTTTGCGTCTCCTGCGGGAGCCCCCCGCTTCCCTGG